GAGAGAGAGAGAGAGAGAGAGAGTTGTTTACTTTGGTGTGCCTTAGAATAATGAAACATGGTGATCCAGTAGGTGATCCAAAAATCATGGGTTTGTTTTATATCTATTCGCATAAATTGTGTCTTTTATCCACAAGCAATGTCCTTTTTTCTTTGAGATTACTGCTAGCAGTAGCCCTTTTAATTTGTGTCAGTCAAGTCAAAACCTAGTCACAAATTTGCGACTGTATTGGTCGCAATTTCAAGCCCTGGGAGAGCGGCCAAATGCTTAATGTGTTGGGGCAGGAAAAGAGGTATGAATTCTTGAGGCTATAACTTTGGTTTAATTATACACTATTGAATGATCAGAATCGCCATGAAATATAATCATCATATTACCAAATTTCTACAGGTACATATACAATGTTTATGATTACATTATTTGAAGTTTGAGAAGTACATGTCCAAGACTTTGTATGTGGGAACCACTCACCTGGTAATACATGTACTTGACATTATTTCTCGTTACTTTTTCTTACCTTGATAGAATAAGTTCAATCACTTGTGAATAGGACTTTCCCATTACTGGTTGGCCATTAACAGAAACAATCTGGTCACCTGAAAAAGGTAACCAAACAAAGTTGAGAGACAATTTGTGGGCACTGCGCTCGAGGCCAATTACCAGTGCAATCCATAACCCACGGCACAGGCTAAAAGGAATGCAGCATTACATGCTTATGACATCACGCTGTACTTCATGATCATCATAGAGCAGACAAAACATGTAAAAATAGAGGGAAAACACCAATGATCATATGACCCATAAGGCCCTACTGGAAAGGCACTTGGTCCCCTAAAATGATGCACTTAATATTAATGGCAGAAATGAGTGATGACTGTGAACACTCTCACAGCCAATTTTACTATCTTGAGCAACTGTCTAATGCAGAACCACTTCCGACAGAAACAGCTTACTCCAAAAGTACAGAAAGAGAGTAAACACTCCTCAAAAATGAAACCCGGTACTTGCTTTTATTTCTCCCTCTTTAAGTAGCGCGCACACCTTATGTATGAGATGGCATGATGTTGTGACATGAATTACGTGGTCAGTAAAGATGCACAGTAACCATAGGTGCCAACATCTAAAAACAAACAATTCTGTATGTTAAGGCGTTACCTGTAGAGAGCCCTGCCCTGTCTGCTGGTCCACTGGGTGCCACTTGCCGCACAAACACAGTGTCCATGGGCTCTGCCTTTTGTCTTTCAATGTCATCAACATGGTGGTCAAGACCATTTACACCTGGTCCTGGACCAGGCTTAAGGAAAAAGAAAAAAATAGGACATAACATTAAACACACAATGAACACAGCGAAGCATGTGATTGTGGTTTGGGTCTTGCCAGTCATTAAACAAGTTATGGGCTGCAACTGTTGTTAGTTAATTCTCAGCAACATCTTACAATGGTCATCATTCACACACAACCTTCAGAGCAGAAAATCTAGACAGAAAGTTTAGTTTTGGTAGATGTCAATCATCTTCACCTCCAATCCTCTGTTGTAAGAAATCCCAACAATATTTAAATCTTGTCTTCAAAGCTTGTGATTTAGGTTTATAATTATAAAGTTGACATGTTTAAGTCTTGTTCAGTCGGTATCCCCAAGTAAAATACATGTAGTCTGCTTGTGTAGATTTTGCTGGATTTGTTTTACATCCTAATTGTGGTCATTCATGCATGCAAATGGACATTGACAAACCTGACAAAGTCCAACAATCATCTAATAATAAATTCGAAGGATGGGAACATACTGAATCTCAGTGTGTTTATTGAGCTACCTATACATGTACAAGTGTACAGGGGATTTCAGGTCACATGGCTTGTACAAGGTCCAGTTTTTGTTTTGCAAACCACCATTGCCTAAAATGCCCCACCCACCCACCTATGAAGTATTTTTAGAGTCTATTAAGTTGCAGTGAATTTATTTCCTAGCCACTTTTTTTGCGCCTTGGTAAGATAGCTATGTTATGTTGTTATGTTAATAAAAGTAAGGCTGCATGGTTCGGCTTGGCATGGCTCCCAGCAGTGTGTGAAAATTGAAATTTTTTAATGTATCGTACCCTACCCTACCCCATCCCATATCAACCCCATACCTCATTCCAGAATTTATCATGTTACTCCCATACTATAACACTTTTTTTTTCTAATACTCATATAGATTCAAACACCTGATCTATGACTTTGAAGTCCATCTTCATCTGCACTAGGCCATGCAACGGAGCTTGACATTGCAACCACTGGGGTTACCAGTGCGACCTATTTCTTTCACTGGCGACTAACGTTTTACACTTTTTACCAAAATACTTTTGCTGGTGTCTTAATCTGAAAACTTATGGGCCACCTGGCCCCAAGGTTTTTCCTGAAAGTCAAGCCCCGTGCAAGCAATTGCTGTAAATTTCCCCATATTCGTTGGTCTAATAAGTTAATAATCCCAGACTCCTCTTCCCCTATCCCTTGATGAAAATTAAACTGGTTTGAAAAGATAGAAACCAGAGATAAAAATAGAACCATAATAATAATAACAACAACAACAACAACAATAATAATAATAATAATAATAATAATAATATGGCTTTGATGAAGCACACAATGTTTTTGAAGTTCATTTTTTAATGAAGACAATACATGTTTCACATGAAACATCATCCACTGTCAGTTGTACAGTGAGAAATAAAATGAAAATATGCAATAAATAGTATAACAAAGTGAGATATCAAAAACATTGCGTGGTTCATCAAAGCCATATCTTAGATTGTGTTGCTACGAAGCCTAAATAATACTAATACTAATACTAATACTAATACTAATACTAATAATAATAATAATAATAATAATAACCATAAACAGAAACATCTACCCGGCTTTGGCAACGTAGTGTTTTAATGGTTTTTAAAATTTTACCATCGTGGGTTTATAATCAATAAAATGAACAACCTACCCCACTACAAGAAAACAACTGGCCAGTAGTAACAAAATAGCATCACTGTACATAGTATACTAACCTCACTTGTTTTCCTTATAAGCTCTGGAGGGTAAACAACAAAATGCCTCAAAGTGAATCCAAATCCATTACTTTGACGTTGTAAACTTATTAACTTGGAGGGTGGGAGATATCCTGGGTTATTCGCAAAATCGTGCTTTTGTTGCCAAGACAATTCACTTTCCTAAGAAAGAGATTAAACACTGAATTAATTAATTGGAAAAAATAAAATAAGCTAAGAGATAAAGATTTAACAGTTTTTGCTCTTTTATTTGCTGCTATAATTTTTTGCTGCCTAATATATGACAGCTACACTAAGCTAGTTCCTAATATACAAAGCAAGTAAGTACGTGTAAGTGCTCTTGTATTTTAAACTGAGGGTTGAATTTTTAATTTGGGATAATGTTAATGTAACAAACCATGTTTTACACCTGGCTTCAATCTAAAACCACACTTACGTGTACTACACCATGACTAAATGCAGACTTTATAAAGTAAAGTTCACCCACATAGGATTTAAACATACACATCTACTGGTTACAGTGTTTGGAAGCAGTACAAAATTGTCTCCAGCTTCAGTCAACCTGGTAAACTACGAAAAAGCTAGGAAAACTTTACTGATAGACTGAATGACACCTTTAAAAAATGACAAAGTCTACAAATGTCACTCAGAATACTAACCCTTTCAGAAACAAATGCATACACACTAGATTTTTATACAAAGATTTTGCAGCATTTCCTGCCATGTTTCCCCTACATCTAAGGACCACAACTTTGAAATTTCCAATACAGTAATACTTTAAGAAAACACACAGATATCACACCACCTATCTAAATAACATCCACAAAATAATTCCTCAACTTTAAGTTGTGAACTTGCACCAAGTTTTTAAACCTGATCAAATTGATACTGCTTGTTATTTAACATGTACACTGACATAACATAACCTCACTTGCAGAAGGAGAATTAGAAATTATATTTCATGTAATTCATGAATGAGATACATGGAAGTAGACAATGTCAATGACCCCTAGGTCAAAAAATAAAACTGTTATAATGAACTCAATGAAAGACAATGGCACAGAGGAGGACCATGTAAAGAATCACGTTCGTGAAAAGCCCTTTTCACGGTTACCTTTGCTCATTTGCATTACAATAAAATCTAGCATTGATGTGAGCCAATTTCAGGCTATTTTGCAGTTTTAGCCCGAAATTGCCTCGCATCCACATTGGATTACATTGTAATGTAAATGAGAAAGATAAACTATGAAAAGGGCTATTAAAAAGTGCACAAATAAAGCTCAAAATTTATAATACACTGCAAATAAATTGAAAATATAGAACTCATTTTGCTTTTGCCCAATTATCAACCTTTGTTCTTTGAGTTTTACAGTTACACCATCATTGGAAATTAGGATGATCTACAAAATTACTTGAAATCATTTCAAATTTTGAAACAGAGTAGGAAACAGAATGGTAGTTCATGTATATTCTGCAACTGAATGTTTAAGTGTAGACACTATACATTTTGCATCCAAAGGCTTTCATATGCCTGAAGTATTTTACGTTTGTTTCTACACACATGTATGAGGGCTATTTTCACTTGTTCCATTCATGAGTGCATATATAATATTCAGATAAATTTTGGCCTGATTTCAGGGTTTTAATTACCTGCACCTATCAATGTTATCTGATTTGCACCTTCTCATTCCTGAATTTGAAATTGTACCATTATTTATTGATTGCCCTGCATTTCTGAAGTCTGAATGTCTGAAGTTTTTGACTGTTGGAATGGGTTTCTTCCCATAACCTACATGTGGAACTTCCCTGACAATTATGTTTTGTTTAAGTTATAGATCTACATTATTGGGCTAATGAAGCCCTTACATTGCCAATAATTAGTTCCCAGTGGTTTTAAGAAATACTTTGATTAGCTGTAGTTTTTATTTTCAGGTTATTTTTTTCAGACATGCTTTGGTAGTTCTGCTGCCATCATCGGCTCAATGATTACACTATGTTTCAGTAAAGTTGGTAGACAGTGAAATATGGCAGTTATACATATCTACATACTTCAAACCTCTTCACACGATACTATCAACTACGTAATTTCATCAACTTCAGTGTCCTTCGCAGTTTCTGCTAAAATCAGCTCTTACATAGTAGTTAACCAATATTTATCCAAAATCTGGAAAGCCAGACTGGTAAAGGAAATATTTTTGCTTCTGGCTTTTCATGTGGTAACTGCACATTGTTAGCATTGGTAATCAGTACATGTTATATTTTGAATGTAAAAGTACTGAAGTAAAGTTTTTATTAAATGTATGAACAATTCAGAAATGTCAAGTATATATATAAAAGTTACCAATGAAAGTATACCACACAAGTAAGATATCTACATGATGTAAACTTTCAATACTCAGTTACAACTGTAGTATAATTATGCATACGTTAACTGCAAATTTGTGACTGCTCAGGCAAAAAATTATGTACACTGATAGGTTTCCGTTCAAACGGCAAAGAACTGTTCCCTTGCTGTATAACATCCATTCATGATCAATAGGAAGCCATTCAAATGGCTGGGGTTATCCATTTAGAAAAATATTTAGCTGTTTGAACAACTGCTGTTAGCCATTCAAAAAAATATTCATCTGTTCAAACAGTTGGGACTGTCCATTCAAAACAAAATGCAGCCACGGGAATAGCTGAAGTTAAACATTTGGAATTTCTCTCAGCAGAAGCAGTCACGATGTTTAACACAAACACAGATGTACTGTACACTTCAAATAACACTAATCCATTAGTTTACATAACCCTGGTTGTCAAAAGTAGCAGGCAGCCGGCAAAAATCACCATTTTTTTTTGTGATCTGCTAAGCTGTGTGTCTGATTCTGTGCCGACGCATACTGATTTTCAAAATAAAAAGTTTCATGCTTGCCATTATCACTGCGTGCACTTTACTTTTTGCAACTGCAAGTCAAAAGTAGATAATTAAAAAACTGCATTTGTTTATCACAGCACTGTGAAGGTTTGTCATAAAGTCAATCTGTCGTTTTCTACAAAGTCTGGTATTGTTAAACAATGAGTAAAGTTTTCTTTAGAAAACTAAATGACATGTTAGTTAAGGTTACAAAAATTAAAATAATTTGATTTACCACAAACAGGGTAACATAAATATCAAGGAGTAATTACACCTAATAAAATACTCATAATCTTACTTTTAATTAACAACAGTCATAATTAATTTACATTCTATGCCCACAATGTGAAAAGACCCGTTAAAATTCACTCATTTGCAGTAAAAGCTTTTCCTAACCCATGATTAAAGAATGCAATTTTAATCTGAAAAATTATATACAATCGCCCTTCAAGTGAAAGGAAATGACAGTTTTTCCACTTGGGTAATCTTGCAAGCTAATAATCAAATTTTTTCCAATCTGACATCAAATAAAAGAAAGGCCATCCAAGTTTGTGAAGGTCGTCAAGTTAAAATGAATGTTGCGCCAAAAATTTCTTATTCATTCGATCGTGCTTAACAACTAACACATGCTTCTAAGGCTAAACTGCTCAGACACCGGGCGATTGCGGGAAAAAATCGCCGAGATAAAGAATGGATCAAGACAGTTATCTTACATGAACACGGACAAAACAACACAAAGAGTGGTCAATTCTAACACTACGGAAACACAACATTAGCGTAAATAACTTCGTTAGAACCTATTGTGTTCAAAAATAACAACACTGTTAGTCCTAAAGACGAACGCGCTCCAATAGCACAAACATGGTCGAAACCGAGGCATTCGATTTCTTTTACCCAAGACTTTTAAACGATATACGCTATGTTCGTAGAAGAATCCTTCTTGCCTAATACTAACACTTCACACAGCCGAAAGAGGATTACTTAAAGGCGGTTTACTAATAATCTTCCATTTATGCGAATGGTTTTTTGCGTTGACATTTTGCGTGAGAAAATATGCTCCACAATAGCGTTTACAAACGTGTGGCATTTTGTGACATCGGACACAGTCAAGGCAAATATAAACAAGTTACTCAGTTTAATTTACGAATCGTGTAAAACGTGCGAGCTGCTGTTTTGGTTTAGAAAATTTACAAAGTGTAGTGTAGAATATCAACTGACAGCAACTAGGCATTCAGTGGAAGCTAACACGCCAACGAAAGGCCATTCACTGAGGAATTTTCACAAACCCCCGCCGGAAAAATTGCAATGTTTAGAAATAGCGATTGTCGAGTTGGATCAACAAAACCCGTAACCTCTATTTAAAACAGAAGCATTGTGATAACTCACCTCCACGTTTCCTCTAATAGAAGCCATATGTTTCTGTACTACAGCTAAATTTAACCCATGTCGAAGAGCCGAGCGAAGGAGAAACAAACTCCAAGCACAATCGTAAAGATACACCAACAGCAACTGAAGCCGCAATTCCCGCAGTTCTCGAAATAAATTGCTGTAGTTGATAATTCGTAATTACACGTTTATATTCCAATGTTACAAATGATTCGAAGACCTTTTGCGATGGTCAGCTAGTCAGGGTGGCGATGCCGTCCCGCAAACCAAATCACAGATCTGCGAAGGAGTAAAAATGGGTTTGACCTTGAGAAAGGCTCCTATAATATTAGGCTCATACCGACCAACAGGCTGACTTCCAGGACAAACAGCACACTTTGAGCTCGTAAATTCAATTAATACACCCTGAAAAATCAAAGAGGGATAACTGGCTGTTGCAATGATATGAGGGGCGTCGGCACAGAATCATTCAGGGAACACATCCGGCATTTTTACCCGAGTTTTACGCACAAACGTCCCAGCTTCCCGTGAGAGAGGTGGTAGATGAGTTCGTTCAAAACAACATTCCATAAAGCGGATGCTCCATAATTCGACGTATATTTCCACACATGCAAATCGCCGATACAACCAGTAGCTGTAATGAAGTGCTCTGTAACCGTCAATGGTTTTGTAACTTGCCAATCTGGCAGCAGTTTGCGGAGCAAAACTTTCAATCTCAACAACTAATCTTCTCGGTCTTTAGCTAGCGCCGAGCATAACCTGTCACGTGACCATAAATTCCGATCCTTCCTTCAGATTGACTTGGAAATGAGGCTAGAGTAATAAAAGATGGCGCGGACGTCAAATTTCAGCAAATTTTGATTATTCCATCCATTCTTTTAATCCACTTATGGCGCGTTCCAGCTTTAAAGCAGACCGTGCCTCGCATTTCCGACAAAAAGCTAGACGGGCATGAATTTCTGAGCACTTTTCGTGACATTTGACGCTCAGTCATATCAAAACATTGTTAGGAATATGATGCCAAGACGTCATTCAAAATGAGGCCCACCGGAAGTGAGAAAAGATAAGATAAGAAATCAATTTGGAGGATAAATTTTCCTTTTATTGGCACCTCAGATAGCCTGGAGTATATATTAATATATATTTAAAACGAGTTAAGGACAACGTAGCTTATAATACATTTGCTATATAAATTATTTACCGACTACCCTCCACCCCCTCCCCCCTCCTCTACTTTTTACTGGGTCGCGTGGACTCGGCGGAGCATCATCACGGAATATACAGTTCACCAAATCACTTCCTGCTCGGCTTCTCGATCGTTCAATAGCAGACATTTATTATAGAATTATATACGTCAGGGGTGCGGTTGAAACCACACCTCAATGATGAACTATTTTCAGCTCTTATCTTCTTGACTTGCTAAACAATTTAACCCTTTACCTGTTTTGTTTTTGATTATGTGTGGCAGTTTAAAGACATGTAAGGTGCCTAGTTACTGTTTCTTTTTAGAGCGGGAGAACTAAGAACGGGAACTGACGGAACACTTAATATGGTTTTTAATAATGACATGGATTTGTGACATCATACCTTTATATTTTGCAATATTTACAAGCCTTACGAAGGGAAATTGTACATTAATAATGCTAAAGCCAGGAGAGTTTCAGCTGGGGGATTTAAACTGAAGTAGGATTAAAACAAAACTGGCAGGGAAAATATGAGTTTAATTCATTAATTTGTTAAAACTAATAATCCACTTTTAAGAGCAAATTAACCAGCTCGCTTTAAATGGTATCTATTCAATCTGAGCTCTTTTGAAACAACATTTCTTGCAAATAGTCGAGGATACCTGATCAACTTAAAAAGCTAGAGAAAAATGAGAGAGAACCTTGAGAATAAGTCGTGAAAATCAAGCGCCATTGCCGGTGATCCGTAAACTGGTTATATTCTGTGCATTCAGGGACACAATCCTTTCTTGAGACATATCGGCAGTTAAACTTCAGCGGCGGAGGTCACTCATCGTCTATTTACCAAACTTCCCTGATCTGACGATTCTGGCTCTGTAGGAGACGAATTCTGTCTAGTTTTACGAACTGGAGGTGTTTGTAGCCTGTTCGTGCACAAGATCTCGGGCACTCTAACGATGTCACACGCTACTCCGTGCTGCACTTGAATTGAGTACCAAATTCACCCGAACTGCTTTATTTTTACCGATTGACTGCTAAACTACAGAAATCCGGGCCGATGAACAATTGCCCTAATACCACTTGTTGCGTCATCACGATACCATTTTGCCAATAGACCTTCCCTGAAAATACCATATTATTTTTCAAACCGCAGCTTCGCATTTAGGATGCAAAACCTTAGTGCTGAACGTGCCATGAAACAACTTCTCATAAAACTAAAATTTGGATAATTAAACGCGGGCCGCGAATATAGGAAAAAGTCTGAAAAGTAACAGTGTACTTATTGGTTTTCCTCTGTTTGTAATATTACAGAGGAACCTCCACTAAAATGGGTTAACAAAATCAGAGGAAAAAACTTGCGAAGTTAAGGCGTGCGACCACATCGCGATATCGATCATCAGGAGCGCTTTAGCAAACGACGAGTCCACGACGGCGACGCCAGCGAGAACGTCACTAAACAAAAGGTTTCATGAGCACAACAATATTTCTGTAGCTTTCTGTAATGAAGTGCGTTTTGAGTCTTGGAACATTCCTCACCCATCATATCTGCAAAGCAACAGCGTGGAATGATCAAGTTCTACGAATTTTGGAGAACTTGAACTGCAACGATCTGCAACGGCTTATTTTTCGAATTTGATGACGTCACGGGAACACACCCTATCAACCGAGCAGGAGGTCTGTATGGGAGAATCTTAACGGAAGTCGTGCGTACAGACCGAACACGCAGTGCCAAAGTTTGCTCATCCTTTTCGTGTTTTTTTTTTTTTTTCTCATCTGGCTTTTTGGCACTTCCATATAGATATTGTTAGAAGAAAATACAAAAGAAAGTTATAACAATGGGGTGACAGGCGTACACAACTCATATCCACGTGTAATAGCCGCTTTGAAAGTTTTGCTCGAGCTAGTATATCTTTAATGATCTGCCCCTTTTGTATGGTGCGATAGGGGGATCTTTGAATGTTTCGCTAAGCAATAATCCTTTGTTTTTAGGAGTCACTGACTGAAAATATCGAGAAGGCTGGCCAGGTTAGAAAAATCGAAAATCCTGAAACTTTGCCTAAAGAACACTTTTAGGGAGCCACTTTCGAAAATATTATTCCGATTTTCTTACAATT